TGAGTTTTAAAATGTCGGATATCGGCCAAAATCTCAATATCGTGCATCACTAATTATGACTATTAGCCACAGTCATTAACTTTTTTGGAAATATATTTTTTAGCAAGTTCATTATGATAAATGCTGCTAGCATACTGTCAGATAGACATAGGTAAGATTTTGAAATCTTTATATAAGTCTTCAAAATTGGATTAGTTAAAAAAAAAAAAAATGAAAGACGACATTTGATCTACCATACCGGAAATATAAAAATGGAAGCCACCTTCCTTATAACTTTCACTCCGCCTCATTTCTAGGAAGCTGCTAGTTACTTTTTGGAAATGAAATTCCATCATGGCAGCTAGCAGCCCTTAGGACTGAATCTGGACGCCACTGTTTTAAACATTTGCATGACGTTCCAGAAATTAGGGCAGATATTATTTGTAGTTTATACATTTTATTAAGGCGTTCGTTTTTTGCCATGTGGACGAGTTGCTCAGTAGGATAAATTCTCAAAGCGGACTTATAGTTTCTTTGTGATAAATGATTGAACCTTGAGCCTCTATTCCACTTTTTTGGTTTGTTTTTAAAGATGAAGTAAAAATCAAATTAGCTGTCCTTATTTTTGTGGCATTTTTATCCTAAAGTTCTTTACAGATGGTGTAGAATCTATAGCTAAGGTTCCACGCATCAATACATCAGATGGTTTCTGAAGTTACAAGTTTCTTTATAATTACTCAGAAAATTATTAAGACATTTCCTGATGTTAGAAAATGTTGTAAGTATTTCTGAATTCAAATTTGTACTTTAAACAAAACATGAACTTTGAATACTTTAGCCTCAAACGTCCAGTCTAGGCAACTGGACAGGAAGTTTCCTAGAAGACGTTTTGCTTCAGTGTGGGGAGCGATGAGAATAATATACTGTAGGTCAAACAAAAAATTAGGGGAGACAAATGTTGACCTTAACCCTTCCACTGGATCGGCCAAGGAGGTCACCGGGAAGTGTTAACGGTCGTTTAGAGCAGAGGTCTTCAACGTTTTCCAGGCCAAGGACCCCCAACTGTTGCCGAGATGGAGCGGTGACCCCC